ATGCCACCTTCGAGCACTACCCGACCCGAGCGGGCGCCCACGACAACGCCATCCACTTCACCCTCGGCGGGGAGTCTCACTCCCTCAGTTATGATGATTTTGGTCGGGCCCTGGGGCTTCTCACACCATTTTCTTGCCGCCTCGCCATCAAGGAAATCGACACTCCTGCCTTCCAGGACCAGCGGTTCTTCGGGAGGATCTGCCTTCCGGAGTTTGCGAGTGTTGTGTTCACACTGTGTGCGACCACCGCTACTCAGCTGCACCCTGAGTAGCGCATCCTCAACCAGCTATTGGGCAAGTCCTATGCCCCTAGCGCGAGCTTCGCCAGTCATCTCCAGCTCCGCACCTTGTCCTTCCTGCACTCGATGAGCCAGGAGGAAGATAATCTCCACTTGGCCTCTGTCATTCCCAGGACCGTCTCTAAGGCTTCTCGCTGCGGTCGTGCTCTTGCTTCTGGGTCGGTGGTCACTGCTCTGGCCTGGTACTTCAAGATCGACCTCACCGGCTTCACTGTGGTCCAGGCCCCAACACCTTTTTCCCCGGACATCCTGCGGCACTAGCTGTCACTTCAGCGCGACGGGGACGTGACCTGGATTCAGGGACTCCCTCGCCCTCTTCCTCGTGACCTAGAGGACGTTGATTCCCCCGAGGCGAGTGATACAAGCGCTCGTCGTGGACCCCGTCGGACTACCCGCCTAACAAGGACTTCTGCAGTTGGTGTATCCACTTCTACTGATGGCCCTTCTGCTGTCGCCCCACGACATACATTGCTGAAAAGCTAGCGGCCATTGCTCGTCAAAACGAGCAGATTTTAGCTGGCCAGTAGCACTTCAACGCCCGCCTCGATCGTGAGCGCGATGGTCATTGCTGCATCATTTCGGCCTAGCACTACATGATGCACTTCTGGGACATGAATCCAGCTACTGTTAGCTACGCCTGGCAGCCTTCTCCTGGGCATGAGGATGATTATCCACCTCCGGATGGCGATGGTGGAGACGAGAACTAGGCTGGTTCCAAATGATCCCCCAGGGGATGCTTGGTTATTCATTTTCCTTTCGTTCCAGACTGAGACTCCCTGTCATTTTTACTTTTTCTTTTTATTTGGATTGTAGACTTGAAACTATGGTTTCTTCACCCAATGTGTGTGTTTTCATAACTCTATCTTTGTGACTTTGGACTGGTCCCCTTTCAGTCCCCTGCTCTTGACATGTCTGTCCTCCAGTCACCATTCCTAATCATCCTTTCACGGTAACATCGTTCCCCTTCCCTCTGCTCCATTGAGTGCAATGTCGACCTTAAGTGTGTGTGTGGGGGGGGGGGGTGCTTTGTATTTATTGGAACATATATGTGTGTACTTAGAGCCTAGTCCGCTGTCCAAATCTCGAGATTTGACGGTTCCAAGTATTGATGTTTGCATGATCATATTGGCACTGTGGTTTATGTGGTGAATCAAATGGCTGTTAGAATTGATGCATGACAACTTGATTATGACTAGGACAACCTATAATGATGACTAAGACGTGCAGTAAAGTTATGTAGGGGTTCAGTTTTTCAACTATTTTATTACCAACTATGATTGGATTGATTACTTATTTTCTACAATCGTTTATGCATCTAGCTCAGAGAATCAGAATGAGAGATGGAGCATATAGGTAGCCATGTGAGATTTGCGCCTCCTTGTTTCTTTCTTGTGCGATAGATCCCTCTTTCACTATGTGTAGCATTCACGTTGTCACTAATTAGGATGATGGAGGCATAGGAATAGCCCACGACCAAATTGACTGTCCTAGTGTGTCAGACCCACTAGTCAGCCCCTTTGAGCCATGCCACTTTCTTTATTCGTGTCTACGATGAAAAATCAACCCTTTGCATCTCTTAGAGGTTCCACAGAGTGGTTTTTGCATGTTCTCTGCTGTTTGTGCTAGTAATAATATAAGGGTTGGAGGTAGTTCTTGAAAGTTGCGCATTTGTTTGAAAAATGTGCAGAGGTGGGTGTTCTCTCAAGAAATGCAAAGAAAATAATTAAAAAAATGAATAAAAGCAAAAGAGAGCCTCTACCAAAAATCTGAATCATGCTCAGTAGATAGTGTTTCTTCGCAGTCTGGCTTAGCAATACTAACATTATTGTGACCTCTTTCACTCTTGTGCTCTATAGAACTTGATCAATGCAGAATGGCAGAAATAAAGTAAAGGGTTTGAATAATGATAACTGTGTTGGGTTTGGAACTATAGAAGCTTGTGTTATGAATACTTCCACCACCTAAAAGGTCTTTTCCCATGTCCAAGACCCTAGCCAATCATCTGAACTCGTGTCTAAGACCTGCGGACTAGTTAGTGGTGACAACCTATATATGAACTCTAGCATTTAGAGGCTGCCGTCATGGTGAAGAGGCATTAGGAATTGAGAGAATAAGCATGCACATTTTTCGCATCAAATTTTCCTGACCCCACTGGTCGAGAGTGAGCGATTCATTTCCTTATATTCTTTACATTCTTTACAGATTGCTTGGTCTTGATTCTGAGGTCTTGAGTTCTATGCATGAGGTGACTGTTTTGAATAAGTGGTTGAGTCAAGTCTATGTTGGTTGGTTGAGTTTAAGAGTGGGGGAATTTGATAGCGTCGTATTTGCACATGTTTTCACCCTCGTTTCCTGACCATTTTTAACTCGAATTTGTGGTTCCTTGGCCTATTTTACGCTAGGTTGTGTTATTTTGTCATATTTCAGGTCCTAGCGAGTAAAGGGAGCCATAGACGCAAGTTTCGGGTCATTTGGAGGTCATTTGGCAATTCAAGGTGCAAAATATTGTTGTCCCCTGAAGGATTACGTTCGTATTTTGCTTTCTCCTCACCGTAAAAGTTATGCCGAGCCAAACCTGTGAAGATGCCTGAGGAAGTGAAAAATACGGGCAAGACCAGATGGGAATATGGTTGTAATTTGGAGATTACCAGCATCATTTTGGTATATACGACCGTATTTCCCCCCTCATCAGCAGTAAGTGAAACGCGCATTTTGGGCAAAATATCGCGGTCAAATTACGACCGTATTTCTTCCCGTATTTCGCGCAGAATCGGGTTGTAAAGGGGCAGATTCGAGCCAAAGGAAGGGGATTCGAATTTTTGGAGCAAAAACAGAGTTCTAGAGAGAGAAAGTACGAAGAACAAACCCTAAGAGCTATTTTGGAGTAGATTTTTCACCATTGAAGCCCATATTTCATCCCCAAGAGTGAAGATTGACATCTAGAGCAGATTATTTCCATCTTTATGAGTATGACTGCTTTGATTTCTGTTTTTCTCTCTCTCTCTCTCTCTTTCTATGGAGTAGACCTTTCTCTCACTTGGGTATGAACCCTAGTTCCATGTATTAGGAATCTTGATTGTAATGACTTTTGGATTGATATACTGTTTGATTATAATCGATTGAGGTGTGTTTATTGAGTCAATTGCATCTTGATCAACTTCTCTTGATTTCTGCTTCAACCTGTGATAGATAGGATCTGAATAGGTTGTTATAGCTTCTTCAACCGGTAGTAGTGAATTGATTACACGAGAGTTAGTCGATTCACTGTTTTGTACGGGAATCCAATTCCAGTAGTGGAGTTCTTGTTAATTGCCTTAGTTTTCTATCTTGTTGAAGACTAGTCGTCTTTCGGTTAGTCTGTCTAAGAGGGCCTGGTCAGCTTAAGAGATTCCAAGCTACTATCGGATCTTCTGCAAATTAATCAACAATAAATCAACCAAAGGAAATTACAACTTGGACCTAACTAAGGAGCTAGGGGGACTCATTCCCGAGTGACTCTTCTCTTGCTTTAGGAAACCAGACAATTTACTACTTTCTTTCTGCTTTACTTTAAACTCCCCAACATTCACTTAGTCTCGCTAGATAATAGATAATCACGGAGTAGGCAGTGTATCTAGGCCCTGGGTTGACATTTATTAGTTGATTCCACTATACTGCATTTCCATTCTGGGATTACTTGGTCGCAGTTTGGTGTTGTTTCGTAGCGTGTCATAAAGGCTAGGTGTTAAACTTTTTAAAAACCTAAAGACAACAAAGTGAAACTTTTATTGTGCACAATTTTTTTTCAGGATGTACTTTCATTTTACATAACATCAGCATAATACTAGCATATACCTGAATGAGGTTCAAGAGTGAAAATTCAAATATTTGATAAATAATCACCTAAGAAATAAATATAGTTTAGATCAATGAAAATGAGAGGCAATTGTATATCATGATTATTATGTAATTATTGGAGCCTAGTCATTTGTTTAACTTAATTTAGAATATGTATTAAACAACTTTTTTAAAGAAAAAAGAAAGAAAGGGGAACCAATAATGTCAAATAAACACACAAAAATATTACCTTTTTCATAGATTTTTCTTTTTGTGTTACAAGAGGTAAGCAAGTCCTTTATTGAAAGAGACCCCCATATTGTAGTACTTGCACAATTGTAACAAAAATTAAAATGAAGAAATCTAAAGGTCAAAAGTCAAACCCTCAGGTTTCCTCCCCTCCCTTCATGTTCTCATTCATTATGAAAAATTATAAAACATGTGGCTTAACCAAATCCAATTCTAATAGAAAACCCCTCTAAAATTTTTGTTATAGTTCCCCTTTGCGTGATTTTTCGAAACTTTTGATCCCTTTTCTCTCTCCCGCACCCTTTTCACCTTTCCTATGCTCTGTTGCTGATTTTTCTCTCACCACATTTGTTGTTTCTCAAAATTGTGAAACCCTCTCTATTTTTCCTTGCCGCCCCAAGAAATCCTCATTTATCACCTCCAAATCTTTATTGGAGAAAATCTTGGGTCAAGATTTCTGGGTAATTCTTCTTAGAGGCGATGAATGGCTGGATTTCTTAGTTCAACGAAGCAACATTTTTTTCACGCTTGTATTTAAGATTTTGGTCATACAGCGGAAGAATATAACTAATTAGATGAAATGCGCCGATGAGAGCAAAAACACCAACTTTGAAAGGAGGCACATTGGCTAGTCCTTTTTCTTTTTGGGTTATCTGAAATTGTGATCGTTCTTTAGTTTTAGGGTGGGGAAAGAGAGGGATTTCTATTGTGGGATTCGGGTGTGGGCATTTCTGGTTTAGGACAAAAAGAAAACATTGGGGTTTTGTGTCTTCTCTAGCATTCTCGCTTTTCCTTAAAAGAACTTGTATATGTTAGATTCGATGAGATGAGAAGGGTAGCAAGTGAATGGGGTTGTGGCTTTAGAGGAAATGGGATTAAGAACACTTGGGTACATAATGGTCTGTGTGATGCTTCTTTTTTTGGTGGCCATGGTTGATTCTGCAAATCATCGACCTGAGGTGAAGGAAGAAAAACTGGTAATGTTTCTTTTCTTTTTCTTTGTATATTTTTCCTTTCTCTTGCTTACCGCTTCATTAAATGCTTGTTGTTACATATATAGATTTTGATGCTAAAGCCTTGTTGAATGCTATATTTTTAATGAAGATAAAACCTTATTAGATATACTGTGTTGAAATTTGGTGGCCTATTCAATTATCATTGTCATCATGTCAAGTTGAACAAATTAGAAAGATATGTAAATATTGCAAGGGTCATTTTGGGGCAAAAATACTTACAATTATGGAAAATGAATGAGTATATTGGTGAAATTTGCTTATTTCTTCATGAGGATATGAAGTATTATATACATATACAGGCAAAAGAGGCATGGATCCGATGCAGGAAACATATAGGGGACAATAAAGGTTTTTCGAAAGATTGTGACTTGTACAATCTACTGCAATCAATGAGTGAATCGGAATCATCTTCATTGGCTAGAAAAAGCATGCACAATGTCATCAGAGTTATGCCCATACAAATGAAAAGAGAACTCCTTCATTGCGTGAGAAACAAAAATCTTCTTTCTGATGATTTTGCTGATGGTGGTAGCAGCTCTACGCGATGGCTCATAGAGTGTTTTCGCATAGCTTTGAAATGTCCTATTAGTACTCAAAGAAGATATATGTCTAGTAAGCGTAATGTCAAAACTGCGTTAAATTCTCTATCACCTGTAACATCTCAGTCGGATAGCCCTGCAATTTCTATAAGGTCTCAAGCTTATGGCTCAACCCCACCCTCTCTACATGAATCATCACTTATCACCACTTCACATTACAATCCTCTGGGCCTACTATTTTATGAAGCAAACCTTCATCAACGTCGGGAACTCGAGTCATCATCAACACCCTCTGTTTCAGACTCTAAGAAAAAACGCAAGAAACATAAAAAGAAATCAAAGGAAGAAATTGAGAGACAAACACTTGTTGCTATTATAGCTACTTCAGTAGCAACCTTCTTGATTGTTGCAGTATTATTTTGTTGCTGGATTTGCTTAAGGAATAGTGAAGCTGAAATTAATTATATTGAAGAGAAGCGAGATGAGAGGCCTCTACTCCACTTGCGTGATTCTTTTGCTAGTAAGTCTTTTGTCACCTTGTTATATTCATTTTAAATTCACTAATTAGCATTTTCTATAAAAGAAAGTTAACGCTTGCATATTTTCTAGGTTCATCTCTAGCTTCTGCAAGTATGGCTACTTCGAGTGCTAACGACCCAAAGTCTATTGGTGTTGTAAACGCAACACTTGTAAGCAACCTATCTATGCAACAGGAGAAACAAGAAGGTGTAACACTAGAGGGACAATCATCAGAGACAAAAGAAATTGCAGGAGATGAACTTCCACCTCTAAAACCTCCACCAGGAAGAACAGTGGCACCCCCACCACCAGCGGCACCTGCTCCACCGCCACCTCGTCCACCTCCCCCAGGAGCTCCAGGACCTCCAGCACCCCCAAAACCCCGCCCCCCACCTCCTCCTAAATCAAATTTAAGGCCTTCACCTCTTGGACCAAAGAGGCCTAATAAGAGTGGCTCTAACGATGATGGTACCGATGATGGAGGTCAAAAAACTAAATTGAAACCTTTCTTTTGGGATAAGGTTATGGCCAGTCCTAATCAATCCATGGTCTGGCATGAGATTAGTGGTGGATCTTTCCAGTAAGCATATAAAAATCTTTAAACTTTTTGAGTTTCTGTTTATGAAAGCTATTCTTCTACATCCATCTTTGTTTTGCTTTTAACATCCTTTTATCATTGGCTTTACAGGTTTGATGAAGAGATGATAGAGTCACTTTTTGGCTATAATGCCAATAAGAATAACAATGAGCGTAAGAGAGAGGTAGTTGACAATTCAGTTCAGTACATTCAAATTATTGATCCGAGGAAGGCTCAGAATCTATCTATACTTTTGAAAGCATTGAATGTGACTACAGAAGAAGTTCTTGATGCTCTTCGAGAAGGTAACTTTTTATTCTCTCCTAATATTTTCTTTCTGAACTAAAATTCACGAGTCCTTACGCTTGAAATCTTGTTGAATGCAGCTAACGAGCTTCCAGTGGAGCTTCTCCAGACTTTGTTGAAGATGGCACCAACCGCAGATGAGGAATTAAAGCTTAGGCTATATGCGGGTGAGATTGCTCAACTAGGCCCTGCTGAACGTTTCCTCAAAGCATTGGTGGAGGTCCCTTTTGCTTTCAAAAGAATTGAATCCCTAGTGTTTATGAGTTCCCTTCAGGAAGAAGTTACCACTCTCAAAGAAGCCTTTGTGACCCTAGAGGTGAGGGAATGAAATAGTTTCTCTTTTTAATATGAAACATGAAAACAGCTAGTGGAAAAACTAATAAACTTTCAAAGATTTTCTAACGTAGTCTAGTTAACCACAAACCCAAGTAGACATCGTTTTAATTAGTATTTGTTTCTATTTTCCACTATTAAAAATTTATACATTCAAAATGTCAGGTAGCTAGCAACAAGCTCAAAAATAGCAGGTTATTCTTGAAACTACTGGAAGCAGTCCTCAAAACTGGCAATCGAATGAATGATGGCACATACCGAGGTGGTGCATTAGCATTCAAGCTCGACACTCTTCTAAAGCTCTCAGATGTCAAAGGAACGGATGGAAAGACAACTCTTTTACACTTTGTTGTTCTAGAAATCATTCGTTCTGAAGGCATTCGAGCAGTACGAGCAGCAAAGGCAAACGCAAGCGTCTCTAGCGTGATGTCAGATGACCTCAGCGAGGACCCCAATGATAAGGCAGCAGAGGAACACTACTGCAACATTGGTCTTCAAGTAGTTTCGAGCTTGAGCAACGACTTTGATGAGGTGAAAAAGGCGGCTGTATTGGACGCTGACATGTTGTCATCTACACTGGGAAAACTCAGGAAATCATTAACGAAGGCTAAAGCTTTTGTGGAGTCAGACATGAAGAGCGATGAAGAGAGCGAGTTTTATGCAGCACTTGTTGGCTTCATGAATCGAGCTGACTCAGATATTGCCTGGCTTTCAGAGGAAGAGAAGAGGATAACAGCACTAGTACAGAGCACAGCAGATTACTTCCATGGCAAGTCGGGTAAGGAAGAAGGCTTACGACTTTTTAGCATTGTTCGGAGTTTCTTGACAATGCTTGACAAGGCATGTAAAGAAGTGAAGGAAGCGAGAGCTAAGAAAGTGCCTGCAACGAAAGTGTCGATCAAGAAAGATAACTTAGGTGAGGCGTCAAGTTCAGGAATTCAACAACAACAACAACAGGTTGAGAATCAAAATCATCATAAACGGTTGTTTCCAGCCATTGCTGAAAGGCGGAATAATGAGTCTTCTAGTTCAGATGATGAAAACTCAAGTGATGAAGATTAGCTCTCCCTTTTCCTCTCTTCTTAGCTTTTGTATGATAGATACCAAAACAAAAAGGCCAAATCTTTCTCAGTCTACAATCTTGTACATGTACACACTTTCTTGTTTGTATATTCACCCAAGTTAGAGAAGGAAAAATTTTCATTTTTATTTTTTGCTAGAGTCTATTTATCAATTTTTAGAGACAAAGATGGTATTGAAAATCCATTACAGAAATGTAAATTGCACCTCACTAATTGATAATTGTACGATTATGTCTTACTCAAATGCCTCATTGTTTTGTACTAGTGTTTTTTTAGAGTCGATCGATTATTTGTAGCACTACTCGCCTGGAGAACTTATTTTCATGTCCATTCTTAACTTTTAATGGTCTTTGTTGCTTCTCTAACCATCAATGAATCTTACTTTATAATCAAACTAAATAAATATTTTGAGTTCGACAAAATGTGCATCCCAAAATATTGATGGTGGCTATCAAAAGAGCCAGCGCAACATGAGACTTGAGGTGAAAATAAATTTACCTCATTAGGTCCCCAGTTGGCAAGCAAGTTTAAGAATCTCAGTGACTAACTCCATAAGCATAATTGTCCAAAATTTATTAAGAAACCTCCTAACAAGCAATGGCGATATGTTATTATGGTGCATCTTTTAGCCTCATATTTGATAAATTGAATCAACAAACAATTAAAGTTCAAGGTTACCCACCCTGGTGGGGACTGCCGCCATACATAACTCTCTCTCTCCATCGTCCAACTAGATGTCAAGATATGTTACAAGCTATTATCTTTTGGACAAACTAGTTAAGGGACTTGGTTGAACCAACAAAGATAGCTTCATTCCCAAATCTCCTAAGGAAGCAAGAATGCAATTACATGGCATACCTATTGATTAGGATCGGGTTTTTAGTCGTAAATACATCTATGAAGGGTATATCAATTCTGTTAATCCCATGGGTAGTTAAAAGTGATAAGCTTTCATTTTCTTTGCTTTTAAACACAAGTATTTTCGAATTTAAATTCAAGTATAGTTCGTGTTTAAGGTTTCACACTTATTTCATAACCCCAAACACTGGTAAAAGAAATTGAGAGTGACTATAAACCTAGTAATAACTCATACAATGTCTTTTGAATCATTGATGTGTTGATAAGCAATATCAACGATACATAGAAAATGAAACTCTCTTAAGTCGTATTCCCCAAGGTCCATTGTTGTAATACTCAAGAAATGCAAACAATTTTCTGAAAGATGGTCATTAGAGGTTAGCTTCCAAATTTGGCATTGACCTAGGAAAAGAAATTTCTATAAAAAATCATCTAAACAATACCAAAATAGTCAGATTTTATAATTATGAGCAAATTTGTGTTTGAGCATTTCCATTTGAATTTATGATTTGTATATCATTAGTTTAGAGAAAAATATTATGATTATTATGTGAATTTAAATGTATGATTCAAACGTGACTATAATTAGAATGTTGGCGGTTAATCATCTAAATTTTGAATTATTGTGACTTACATATAATCAGTACTTATTAAGTATATATATGTATGATTATTATGTGAATTTATAGTAATTATTAGTTGTGCATTTATATGATTAAGTAAATGAATTGTACATGTAGTATGTGAAAACTATGTCTACTTTAATGATATCTTAAGCATGTTGATGAATAATAGTACGCCATTGTGCTTTAGTAAGTATATGAATAAAAGTAAATGATTGTCAAGAATTATAACCGACAATCAAGAATATCGAGATTTAACGTGGTATCCCCGAGTATCAAGACTAATCCACGGGAGAGACTGTGTTATCTAAAGATCCACTATAATCGTATGCCTCGTTAGTTACAATCGGCTAACTCTAGGTTATTATATATATGAGTAGAATCACGGCTAAGCTAATTACATCCGACTTAAACATAGTTTGGTTAACTACAGTTTTGTACTCAAGACTATAAACTTCAACACCCTTCCTCAAATTGATGTGCGGTATGCAACATCAATTTGGATGATAAGTACCAATGCATACTTGACGCAACAATCTTCGTCAGTAGATATGCAGTCTGATCGTCAGTCGAAAGATAGCCAACCTGTATTAACTCATCTGCTATCAATTGTCTGATGCAATGTACATGAACCTCAATCTGTTTGGTCGTATCATGAAGAGCTAGATTGATCGCAATATGTATCGCGCTCGTGTTATCCCCATATATATGCGCATTGGGACCTTATAATCAACGTACAACTCGCTTAATAACCGATGTAACCAAACTAGCTCGGAGCTTACCTCCGAAATCCACCTGTACTCTGCCTCTCTGGATGACATGGATACCCGATCTTGCTTTCGATACCACCAAGGTACAAAGGATTGACCCACCCGAACACACCATCCTGACGTTGACCACCGAGTATTTACACACCCAGCATAATCCGCATCAGCAAATGCCTCAATCGTAGGTCCAGCTTTGGCCGGGAAGAATAGGCCAACATCCTGCGTTTGCTTCAGATACCGCAAAAGTCCATGAATTTAGTGATGGCAATCGGGCGGGGCAGGGTGGGTACCTCAATATCTATGCCCCGACCCATGCTACTGCGGGTTGAGGCAGACAATACCCGCGCGGGTACGGGGTGGAGCGGGTCGGCCTACTCTTATATGTTATATGAAAAACATATACGCAAAATTTTAGTTTATCAATAAAACAAAGGGGAAAACACTTTATGAATGAAAAATAGTGATAATAGAACGGGTAATTAAGTGTTACTAGTTGAAAGGTCGAGTCTAACTAGTTGAAGAAAAGTCAAAATATAATAAATATGGTAAGAAATTGAAGTGAAATGGGCCTAGAACTAGGCGGGGCAGCGCGAGTTGGAAGTAGATACCCATGCCCCGCCCCATGCTACTGCAGGTCGGGTAATACCCGCCCTATCGTAGGTCGGGTCGGGTAATACCCGCAAGGCGGGTTCAAATTGCCATCACAATATGAACTGCAGCTAAATGCAGATTAGTAGCAACCCCTATGTACTAACTCACCACCTGAACCACATAAGATGTGTCTGGCCGAGTATGAGCTAAATAAATAAATAAGACTTCCTACTAGGCTCCGGTAAACAGACTTATATAAACCTTGAGAAGTGCGATGAATCTCGAGTCCCAGGAAATAGGACACATCGCCCATCTCCTTCAAATTAAAAGCCTGCCTAAGAGCTGCAGTAACCTCTTGAATGCCACCCTTATCACTTCCCATGATGATCATATCATCTACATATATCAATAAAACCACAATACCATCAACCGTGACCCTCGTGAACAATGATGGATCATTCTGGCTTTGAGAAAACTAGACTGCAAAATTGTCCCATGAAACTTTTTGAACCACACTCGAGGTGCATGTTTCAAACCATACAGAGAGCGCTTCAGCCTGCAAACCATAAAAGAATCACCCTTCTCATAACCTGGTGGTCTCTCCATGTATATCAATTTTTTAAGATCACCGTGAAGAAAGGCATTCTTCACATCAAGTTGAAGAAGAGACCATCCTTTCATTGCGGAAACCACAAACACACAGAGAACAGTTTGCATCTTCACTACTGGAGTAAATGTCTCCTCATAATCAATACCATACTCCTATTTGAATCCTTGTGCAAAAAAACAAGCCTTAAACTGCTCAACAGTACCATCAGGATACATCTTGATGCATAAACCCACCTATTGTCGATGACCAACATATCGTCGCAACGTGGAACAAGATCCCGAGTCTAGTTTTCTTCAAGAGCATCCATCTCCACATGCATGTCAGCATTCCATCTGGGATCATGAGCTCACTGGGAGTAGCAACTCGAAATAACAACAGGAAAAGTCAAGAATCCCACGAATTTGTGCATGCGGAGAGGTGGCTGCCCTAAAGTGGCTCGGGTCAATCTACGCAAAGGAAGGGGTTTTTGTACTGGGGAATAGAGAGGGATCTGAACCTGCGGAATCATTTTCCAAAGACGATCTAGAGGAGGACATGCTGGAGTGCGCTCCTTAACGAAGACGAGCTAGAGTTGATGGATCATGTAGTCGACGTGCCATTGGGAAGTGGAGATGATTCTTCACTTTGAGAGCTAGAGCTAGACAAACTAAATGTCATAGTGGGTGTCATGACCGGTGGCATGGGATCAAAGTGGCCAAAGAAGTGAGAAATTCCAATGGTTCCGCCAATCTAGCTTCCACATGAGACGCCTGATAATACATATCCTTCTCCATACATGATTCTGGCCCAAATGTACACGTTTTACCCCTCATTTCTTATTCGTTTAGTTTAGTATTTCATCGTTCCTTGACATATTTCACGCTAGGTTGTGCTTGTTTTGATACATTTCAGGTCTTAGCACATGTGGAAGGGTCGAGGACGAGTTTTGGGATATTTAGAGGTTAAAAAGTGCAAAAACTGAAGAAAATTCCGAAGAGACCGTGACAATTCCCTCGTAACAGCGAAGTGAAGGCGTCACAGGAAACAACCGCAGTTCACTGGCGGATAAGGCAGTTCACGATCTCCTAAGACCGTGAAGAGGAGGCATGGCCGTGAACATCAAGGCGTCCAGGGCCAAATCCGAAGTTACTGATGCCAGGCGAGTTCACGGTCTCTAAGACCGTGAACTGGGTCCATTGTCTGTGAACCCAACAGAGTGAAGCGGCGCGTTTTGGAGACGACGGAGTTCACGGACGCGTTTAGGTGTTCACGACCATGAACTGGTTTTTTGGGTAAGAAACACTTTCTTTCTCTAGGGTTTCAACCTAAACACCAAACGGGGGTTCTAGTGAGAGAGAGAGAGAGAGAGTGCTAGAGTGATCTTGGAGCATCATTGGAGGCTTGGGTGGAGGATTCAAACCTACAAGAAGAAGAAGAAGAAGATCTTGAGCTCAAATTTGTAATCCCTCTCTCTCTCCCTAGAAACTCACTCTTTTCTCTTGGGTGTTGTAGATCCCTAACTAATATTACTTGTTTAGATTGAACGATTAAGTGTGGGTTTGCATCAATTTTAGTATTAGAGGTGTTTTCATGGTGATTGTGCATGCTTGTGCTTAGCAATCTAAGGGTTGTGCATAATTGTGCTTAGCACCCTTAGGTTTGTGCATGTTTCCTTCCGCTTTCTAAGCCACCTAAACTAGGTTGAGTTAGGAGACCCTCAATATTGAGTTAAGCAAGTCGATTAATCGTGATTAAACCATCCGACCTTAGATTTGAGTGAGGGAGTAAGTCAATTACTGATTGTCTAAACCGAGAGGGTCGAGTGACACGGCCTTTC